GTTGACTTTCTTAATTGGCACTCTTTCTCTTTGTGGAGTTCCTCCTTTTGCTTGTTTTTGGTCAAAAGATGAAATTATTGCTGATGCTTGGAAATATAATTTTAATTTAGGCTTGATTGCTCCCTGTTTTGTTTCGTTTAGGGAAGGGGGTGCTCAAAATTTCAGCACCTACATAAATGCTAGATATTAGTGGACCCGTTAACCTTCTCTCATGCGAAGCGACTGACAATGCACCAAAAGGGAGACCCTTAAGCCATATCTCTTCGACAAGAGCTCTCGAGGCTGCCACCCCTTGAGAAGTTGAGCTAGAACGGCCAGTCTGTGAGACCCTTCTTTGGACCTACGAATACATTTTATCATGAATGACTTTGATTGGGCGCAGGAAGACCCGTACCCATGTGGCAGGCCAATGGCTTGACTGGTGGACCTTGCTTGTGGATTGGTGCTCCAAACAAAGCAAAAGGGTTGTGGCCCATCGGTGTAATGTTGGTGCTCAGGAAGCATGATGCCAGTCTTCAGAAAGGCCAGCTTTGTGCTTTGTTCACTTAGTTTGTTGGGTCTTTTCTCCAGCTTCTGATTCTGCTTTGCTCTTTTGGTGATCAACGTCCGAGGTGTTGCTTGCATCTACCATGTCGGTACCTGTGTTGGCTGGCTTTCTTTTCTGGTGATAGAAGTCACAGGAAGACTAACTGGTTTGTACCTGGCTTGTAATTACGTTGCACACTCACTCATAGGCTTACACGCCTCTCGCCACTCTTTGTTTAACAGACCAGTTCCTCCCAACTTCCTCTTCTTTTGTACCTTCATGCTCGGATGGCATTCCTTCCAAAAGTCATGCGAGGCACGGTATAACATGGGAGGTGACAAGTGATGGGGATAGGTGCTGACTTGGCTCTTTTGGATATGGCAGCCTGTCAGGCCGAACTGTGCATCCAAAAAATTGATTGTCACCAGGTCCGATGCCGGACTTACGGATTTTGAACGACTTACCTTCAATTTCATCACTGAAACAGTATTCACCTGTTAGCAGTAGTGAATGCAGATCCCAGGGCTCGATCCCCAGTCTTTACCTTTACCTGTGTACAGTACCTGTGTCGACCCCGGGAGTTGAACCCGTGACCTGTGTATTCGCAACAGTTGGTAGGCTGTCGTAGGTCCGTAGGTTGTAGGGGTTCGATCTGTAGACCTGTTGGATAGAGGTCTTAGTGAGTCCTGGAGGTCGTAGCTGTAGGTGTCCTGAAGGGTCAAGGTCGTAGCTGCTACAGTATTCGAAAGGCCAGGTCTGCAGACTTCCGGAAGGTCCCAGTAGTGGCCTTTCGAAGTTTGCTCACGTTTAGACAGAGGCAAGTGGGCAAGTGGTGAGCCCAACTGYGGTACGTCGGYAGTGMGACYGYATCGAGTTGGCAGYGCAAACCCATGCAGTCAGCGGTACCGGTCCCAGTCAGTCACAGTCCAGTCAAGCAAGTACCGTGTGGGACTGTGTGCACCAGGGGCATGGGAAAGGGGCAGACCAACGAGCTACAGAAGTATAAATCAAGAGGCAGCGCCCAGCCAATCATTCATTCCTGCGTAAGCCATGCGGAAGCGCTACTTGAGCGACTTGTGTGAGGTGGTCTGCAGAGCGCCCGAAGACGAAGTGGGCAGAGTTGAGGTGGTGTAGCCATAACCAGCAGGGTTGAGCGGCCATAGCCGCTGTAGGTGGTAGACGAGTGTAGTGTGTGCGTGTGTGTGAGACAGTGTGTCGCACGTGGGATATCCAGGGTGATCCTGAGTTGAGTTTGTGTGAACAGCAGAGTTGAGCTAGTGACGAACAGAGAGTTGTACAGGCGCTGATGCGCCATACCCATCTGAAGCGAGCTTGTATCTGAGATGTGTTCTTGATTACCATATCTCTGAGCTTTGAGTGGGCGCTTGTCGCCAGTTTGGTGTGCGACCTGTTTACATGCATGCGAAGTGGAAAGGAAAGTGAGTCTGATTGCATCACACTTGATTGAGAAGTAATCACACTCGATTGGAAGCTTCACTCAAAACTGAAATTCATCATATGCAACTTAGTTACACTTGGGCACCCAGTTGCCCTGAACACACAGCTCTGAACAGAATTGAAAATGATGTTGTGTGCTCCCAGAACCATTAAGTCATGCAAGTTCCCTCTCTCTCTGCTTCCAAGGCTAAACATAGCGCTCCTCAATTCTTCCCGACTTGCAAAACTCCATGAATGAAGAATTGATGAAATTGCTGTGTGTTTGTCGAGCTCTGCTACTTGCCCTGGGCTAACCGAGTCTGTTTCACGGAAAATCTTGAAGCTACTGGTCTGAAAGGTCCTACTCTAGTCCAGCTTTAACAGAGGTCCCACCTACGGGTCCTGGGTTCAAATCCCTCGAGCAGAAAAATAACAAAAATCCAATTGGGGCAGTTATGCATGCGTGGTGATGATCTGGGGCCATGCAAAGTCCGAAGATCACCAACATGAGGAAGAGATGCAGGGGCCATGCAAGGTCCGAAGATCGCCAATGTGAGGAAGAGATGTAATGCGACACAGTGGAAGACTAAGATCAGATAGGATATGACCTGACCATGCACCAACATGATAATGTGACTCAGTTCTGATCTCACACCAACCGGGGAGGGGTCTGAAAATAGAAGAACCTCCCTGCTGAATGCACAGACAAAATACAGGTGGGAGATGGAGGAAGGGGCGAAGAAGAAGAAGAAGAAGAGAAGAAGAAGAAGAAGAAGAAGAAGAAGAAGAAGAAGAAGAAGAAGAATGAATCTATGGCAAGGGCAAATAATAGGTTCTCCTGAGTCTGCTCCACCTCAATCTCTCCACCTTTTATACACCTCGAAACAATGAATCTCAGATCTAGAGCCAGGGTGTCTAGCACCTCTCTCTCTGTCGCATACCGTAAAGGTGCAGACCAGAATAAGAACCAACCTCTCTCACATAGTACAAGATAGCACAGCGGAAGGCTTAAATACCAATGATCCGAACAATCAATGTTGCCATGCAGACCAGACATGCATCATCGTCATTCCATGGTGTGAAGGGGCCTGGCGCTCACACAGGAAGAATGCGCCAGTCCCCAACCATACACAGACGAAGAAGAGGGGGGGTTAGACGAAGAGGAGGGGAAGATGGGAATGTCGTCAACACCAAGTCTTCGGTACAGGTCCCAAATAATCCCTCGTCGGATGTCTGAATCCCAATGTCGAGTCTGGACCCAAATGTCGTCAAGTCCCAAAGTCACCCATCTCTCTCTCTCTCTCTCTCTCTCTCTCTCTCTTGTAGTCTGCATATACTGAGAAGTCAGGTAGCGAGAGGGGGAGGAGGAGATGGTGGACTTAGAAGAGGAAGAAGAAGAACTCTCTCTCTCTCTCTCTGTGTCTGGTACTAACCTGTGAAGGTGGCGCCTTGTTGCAAGTACATCGAAGACGAAGCTGGAGCTATGGCGCCACAGGTAAGTCTCCCTGGCCTCCGCCAACCATCTCTCTCTCTCCA